AAAAAAAAAAAAAAAAAAAAAAAGAGTTTCGGACTTGATTTTAATTTTACTACTTTTTCCACTAATGTTCCTTATTTTTTTGAGTTGGGGTCTTACTCTGTCAATCAGACTGGAGTGCAGTGGCATGATCATGATGGGGATGGCTCACAGCAGTCTTGACCTCCCAGGCTCAGGTGATCCCTCTTGTCTCAGTAACTGGCACTACAGGCACGTGCCAACCTGCCCAGCTAATTTTTTTGTTTTTGGTAGAGATAAGTCTTGCTATGTTGCCCAGGCTGGTCTCGAACTCCTGGGCTCAAGCAATCCTCCCTCCTTGGCCTCCCAAAGCCCCGGGATTACAGGCATGAGCCACCGCTCCTAGCCTAATGTTCTTTTTTAAAGCTAAATTTGATTGTTTAATTTGACTTGAGAAGTTGCATCTAGATTTGAAACACTTGCTTTTTTTCCCTTCAAGAATAAGGAATGAGTTCTCTTTTTAACATTTTTATTTAGTTAGTTTCTTTCTTTTTTTTTTTTCAGTTGGAGTCTCACTCTGTTGCCCAGACTGGAGTGCAGTGGCATGCTCCCGGCCACCGCAGCCTCGACCTGCTGGGCTCCAGCGATCCTTCCGCCTCAGCCTTCCGAGTAGCCGGAACTACAGGCGTGTGCTATCATGCCTGGCTAGTTTTTGATTTATTGTAGAGACGAGGTCTTGCCAAGTTGCCCAGGCGGTTCTCAAACCCATGGGCTCAGGCAATACACTTGCCTCAGCTTCACAAAGTGCTGGGATTACAGGCTGAGCCACTGAGCCTAGTCTAGTTTCTTAATTAAAGTTCTAGCATCCAGTCCAGGGCGCCATGTCGCATTTAGGATGTGAATTTTTTTGCTTTCTCAAGTGACTTGGAGGTTGCCCTATGGGCTCACAGTGGGTGGGAGAAGAATGCAGACAGAGAGGCATCCAGAGGTGAGTCCTCAGGTGGCCTGGGCGGTTCTGGGATCCTGGCCTCCCTGTCCCAGGCTGGGGCCATGGTGTGCTCCCCTGTCTCAGCTCAGCCCACACCAGCATGGGGGAGACATTGCTTGCTGGCGGGCTGTAGCGGGTGACTTGCTGGTACTGGGCCACCCCGCCAGGAAGCTGCATTTCCCTTTCTGCAAAAGCAGATTTCTCGAGCCCAGCTGCTTGTGTGAGATGCTCTGGGAGGGCCCAGCCTCCAGGTGCCTGGTGGGGTCCTGAGCCCTGCCAGCCAGCGGTCCTGGCCCTCCACACCCTCCTGCAGGTCTTCTGGCTCAAGACTGGCAGCTCTGCCCCTCTCTTCTGCCTCCCCTTCCCCACAGAACCAGAGAGGAGCTGGGAACGGTGGTTGCAATGAACTGTGAACTCAGAGCCTACTGGAGAGATGAGGTATCTTCTTCAGTCTACCCGGGGAGCCCTCGGGGCTGAGGGAGCTCCTCCAGGAGCTGTAGAACTCAGGCTTTGTCCTCCCAAAGTCAGCTGGGGTGCCAGAAGAGCTTGGGGTCTCCTGACCCTGGGGTTAACACAGCTGAGTGGTCCTAGGAAGGCAGCTGACTTCTCAGACCCTCAGTTTCTGCATCGGTGAGATGGGCCACGGTTCCTAGCTCCAAGGTACTAGACCCCAGGGCTGCCTCAGGACAGGCTTGGCTCCCGAGGATACCGCCGGCCACTCCCTTCGGTGTGACTCTGTCCATCTGCTGGCCACTCTTCTCCTTCCTGCTGCCCACCTCTCCCATCCTTCCAGGCAGTGACCCCCGTGCTATTCCTTGCTTGTGGGAGCATCTGTGTCTTTGCTTATGCAGCCCGGATCGCCCACTCTTGCATGCCAGCTTGAGGGCCAGCTGGAAGTCCACCACACAGGCCCCTGGCTCCCCCTCCTGTGCCTGTAAGGTTCTCTCTCTGTAGGGCCTCTGCCCCTATCACTCCTGTTTATGGACCACCCGTGATGCGGTCTGGCAGGGCAGCTGGTGGGGGGAGCTCCTGCTCCGTACCTTCCCCTCTCCAAAGTGAATGAACTCAAGGGATGGGCTGTGCCGCTTGCATCCTAGAATCACCAGCACCGGGTACTGTGCCTGGCACACAGTAGGCACTCATTAAATGCTGTGTTTAGAACTGAATTCTTGGAAGCCTCGGGTTCTTGCAGAACAGCCTCCTGGTCTGTCCCACAGGCAGAAAGCGAGGCTCCCAGATGACGGGGCCCCCAGGTCTCCTACTGGAGCCCCCGGGCAGGTGCCCATGGGAATGCCCAGGGTGCAGCTCAGCATCTGAGGCCTCCAGCTGCCCTGCCAGACCGCATGCTCCGCCCTCTGCAAACGGCCGTGGGGGCAGCTTGGGTAAGTTCCCCTTCCGCTTCCTCTTGCCGCCTGGCCTGCTGCTGCTTCTCAGCCAGGGTGCCTCACCAGCCTCTCCACACCCCTGGTGCCCGCAGGAACGCTCCTGGCCCTGAGCTGTCATCACCGTCACCCCGCAGGCGGCGGACACGATGCAGGCCATCAAGTGTGTGGTGGTTGGAGATGGGTAGGTACCCAGCTGGACTTCCTCATAGCCCCCAATGGGGACCCTGAGATCCTCCCATGCCTGGCGTCCCTGGGGAAACCCCTGGTCCTCCAGATGTCAGAGTCCTGGGAGGCAGCAGGGAGGAGCCACTTCCTTCTTCTCCCAGGGCCCAGAGGGAACATCCCGGAGTGGGCTGCGGACGGCTTCCCTTTCCCCGGCCCACCCCACCCCAGAAGCCACCTGGATGGAGGGGTGCAGGACTGTGGGTGAGGATGCCTGGGGTTCCTCACAGCACCCCAACAGCCGGGGGCAGGTCTCCCACGGAGGTGAGGCTCAGTTCTCAGCCCTGTGGATGCTGGTGGGAAGTGGGGAACCCGAAATTTGACCTCTGTCCCCGGGCTGACCTGGGCTCTCGGCACTGGCTTGGTGCTGCTGTGTGGCGTCGGACACGTCACAGCATCTCTGAACCTCAGCCTGGCCATCTGGGAAGAGGCCTGTGCCCCTAGGGATGCTTGAGGCGTGTCGAGTGGCTATCTTGCTTGTAGTGTGGGTTCAGCAAATGCTGGCCTCTGACCTCTCTTCCTCCTGAGCTGGGAGGATGTGTGTGGGGGGGATTGTGGGTAAGGGGCATGAGGGGAAGGGGATGTTGAGAGGCAGAGGCAGGGGAGGAGGAGGGCAGGACAGGGGCGAAAGTGGATGGTCTGGGCGGAAGGTGAGGGGCAAGCCGTGCTGAGGGCCCTTCTCAGTCGTCAGACTTCAGTGACCTCAGGCTGTCCTGTCCCCTGCGGGCCTGAGACGACAGGTCCAATCTGCCAATCTCTTGCGCCTGCCAGCAACACCGGTTTAGGGTCCAACCCATAGGCCACCCTGGGTTTCCCATGAGTCCATCCCAGTGTGTTCTGGCAGGTCAGCACCTCCCGTCCTGCTCTCCCATTCTACAGAGGGGCAGCCTGTGGCCTTGAGGGACGTGGGTCTCTCTTGGCCTGGGCCTTGGTGGCCCCCGATCTTGGCTCTGATCCCTCCCGGCCAGGTGGGTGGTTTCTCTGGCGGCCCTCAGCTGATTCTGATGCGGCTTATCTGCCCCTCATCCGGCCCTGCTCACTTCTGCTTTGTATCTGATCTGGGGCAGGAGGGCGGAAGTCAAGGGTTAACGTTCCAGTCATTCAAAGTTACCTTGGGGCAGGCCCTGGGGAGGGTGATTGGGGTGGGGTGGGGGGACAGTGGCCTCCTCAGAGCAGGAAGTGACGAAACCCAGCAGAGCGCAGAGAGCCCGGAGCTATCCCTTTGTCCTTCTGGGCTCTGGGCTTCTGACTGAGTCTAGCAGGAGCTATCCCTTTGTCCTTCTGGGCTCTGGGCTTCTGACTGAGTCTAGCAGGCCGAGGACATGGGCGACGACCATTTACTTACCACTTCCTAGGGGCCAAGCACCGGGCTTAGTCCTGCCGCCTCTGTGTGATTCTCCTACCAACCCTAATATTAGCCCCCTTCACAGGTGGGAAACTGAAGCTCAGAGAAGTGAAGTAATTTGCCTTAGACCTCACAGGATCTAAACACAAGTCTCTTGACTCCAAAGTCCTGTGTCCTTAACTGCTCAGCTCTGTGGTGAGGTGAGAGGGAAGAGCAGGGCCAGGCTGTTCCCAGCAGTCCCTGGCCATGGCCACACACCGAGCGCAGTGCTCAGTGCCTTGATGGCCATCGTTCGATTACTTCTCAGCACGCTCCTGTGAGAATGGACACATCCCCATTTTCTAGGTGGGGACACTGAGGCAGAGAGAGGTTAGGTGACTTGCCCGAGGCCGTGCCACTGGTAGGTGGTGGAGCTGGGAGTGTGATGAGAGGGCTTGGGTCAGGCGCCAGGGCCCCGGGGCA